CCAAACTCTGGAATAGCCTTCCTGATAATGTTTGGGGTTCAGACACACTCTCTCTGTTTAAATCTAGATTAAAGACACATCTCTTTGGCCAAGCATTCAAATAATGCATCTCATAATCTTTTACTGCAGTTATATCTGATCAAATGCACATTATTATTCTTTAGTTTGGTTTAAACAAAACAATTTTGCTTGGTTGGAACAGCAGCTACGCTAATTATGTCTCTATTTGTTTCTCTGTTTCTGCTGGGATTGACATCCCGTGGTAACTAGGATTTACACAAGCTTCAGTCTGGATCCAGAACACCTGAGAAGAGATGATGCCAACCCCTCAGAGGACCTCAGATGATGCCAACCCTGAAACAACATACAGAACTACCACATTTTGCTATAAGTTTGATCGCATCATATAATAATAGCTGTTAATAGTGTTCATCGTCTGTTTGATTACGTCTTTAATTGATTTTTCCGTACATTTCTGCCATATGTACATTAACTGACAGTCACTACTGATAAGCTACCACTAAATATTGTAGAAACTTAATTTGCTGTAAAGTTGCTTTGCAATGATTTGTATCATGAAAAGCGCTATACAAATAAACTTGAATTGAATTGAATTAAACTATTTGCAATACGTAGTATAAATAGCAGAAAATCCTGCTATTTTACCATAGTGTAAATAGAATCCATTGCTATTTGCACTTAGTGTAAATAACATCTATCGCTAAGAAAATATTAGTGCAAATAGCCGCTGCCTTGAATGAGTTAATGAGTAAATGAGTTTAAGGTCTACCTCTCTCTCTGTAACTCTGCTTCTGTACGTTGACTGATCATTACGAAACATTCAATTTCAATGAACATATTCAAATTACATTGGTAAAATTGAGAATCTTCTGAAAAAATGTATGTGCTAAAGATTCCCGTGGGAATATAATATAATATAATAAATAAATATTGGTCATTTAAGTCAATAAAATTAAATCAAATGGAATACGCAATAGGCTTTTTTTTTATTTATTTTTTTTATCGTACAATAGTAAAATAGTTTTGAAATATTTCCCCCTTTGGTATCAAAGGTTTCTGCACCCAAACATCGTTTTTCTTTTTATACAGAATCTCACATTAGATGTGCTACACACTCTTTAATTGGCAGTTCTTTTCAGCACATCATTTGATAACAGATTATATATTTCAGAGAATTCAACTCTGAATACCTTAATTATTATTATTGTGTGTAATGTACATGTCTGTGCAGTTTGGTGTTTTTATCGTGTGAACGGGACTTTTATTTTGCGGCGATGTGACGTCACAAGGCTGCGCCGCGCTCCTGCATCTGTTGAGATTGGGCTGAAGAAAGGTTTGTGTTTTTAAGTGATGTGAATGAAATGGTCATTATTGAATGTAACCTCTTAATATTTTCTCTGACATTAATGAGCGTTGTTTTTCGTACGTTCAGCGCATCTGCACACAAGGAACAGAAAGAGCTCGTCTCATTTCGTGAATCCGTTCATCATAAACACGGATTCGGTTACTGGCGAGTAGTTTCGTACAAACTGAGCTTTTGAATGAATCATATCAAAATGATCTCCTGCTGCTCAGAACAACAAACACAAACCTGTGCAGTCACAGAACTAATACAAACAGCAAATGTTTTCAAATGTAACATATTGAGTCATAACGAAATATAATGCTTAATGTACATTAATTTATTAATTTGTAGTGCTAGTTTTGAGTGTTTTTGTCTAATCAGGTGATTTGAGTGCATTAACTCTCACTCTGACTGTCTCCCGTACTAGTGTGCTGACTACTGAACTAGTGTGCTTACTGAACTAGTGTGCTGACTCCCTCACCAGTGTGCTGACTCCCTCACTAGGGAGCTGATTGAGACACACACACAGATTTAGATTAGATTTATTATCTTTCTGTTAATTATTCTGATCTTAAACACACAGATAAATTCAACTGAGACACACGTGACACACTATTATAAAGATGGAGTTTATTAAAGAGGAGGAATGTCATATGAGTGTTGTGATTAAAGCGGTTTTATCTGACACGGAGCGAGTGGAGATCACAGGACCAGACAAACACTGATGCTGCCTTCAAGTGCAGCCGAGAAGATCCTGCTTACTAGTTCAATATTCGTTATTACAACGTGATCTCATGATAATTCGTATGTATTTTACGTAAAATGTGGTTCTATAAAACGTACATTTACTTAGTTTTGTCTGTCATGTTTTTTCTTATACTGTACAGAAATGTTTAGATTTATAGGTAGGAGTGGAATTAGAGACTATAAAAATATTTTAATGCTATATTTTTACTAAAATGATTATTTTCCTGCATATTTCGGTCATTTGCGTTTTATATCCTTTTATATTCGCTATAAAATGGGTAGGTTAAGGTTTGGGGGCAGGTTAAGGGGTCTAAAAATCTAAATTGCGTATTAATAAAATAATAAAAAAAAAATGCATATTCGCTATAAAATGGGTAGGTTTAGGTTGGGGGGTAGGTTAAGCGGTCTAAAAATCTAAATCGCTTATTGATAAAATGAAAAAAATGCATTGATACGAATATCTTAATGATATAAAAGATACGTAAATATTTTTACGTTTTTTAGCTAAAAATACGTAGCGATTTGTACGTTTTAAACGTTGAAATACGTCTAAATTGTACGTTTTAGCATTAATAAAAACGTACAAAAGTGTACGTTTTGTGCTTGTAAATGTTACGTATTAATACCTACGTATAAACATGAGATAGGTTAAGGTTTGGGGGTAGGTTAAGGGGTCTAAAAATCTCAATTCCGTATTGATAAAAATGCATATTCGCTATAAAATGAGTAGGCTTAGGTTTGGGGGTAGGTTAAGGGGTCTAAAAATCTAAATCGCTTATTGATAAAATTATAAAAATGCATTGATATGAATATCTTAATGATATAAAAGGTACGTAAATATTTGTACGTTTTTTATCTAAAAATACGTAGCGATTTGTACATTTTAAATGTTGAAATATGTCTAAATTGTACGTTTTAGCATTAATAAAAACATACAAAAGTGTACATCTTATGCTTGTAAATGTTAGGTATTAATACCTACATATAAACATGAGACCAGGCTGGTTATTACGACGTCATGCATTCATTTGGGAAAAATATTAGCCTAAACAAAGCAATTATTCTGTGTAACATTGCGTCAAACAGCCAATAACGTGTTATAGACAGATATGACAGCTGTTGCTCATTAATCTCTGTAAGATGATATGTAAATGCTTAGTTTTAGGATGAAAGCTCTAGTTTCTAATGACTCTAAATTTGAGAAAAAAGCGTTAAAGTTGCACACAGTCTACTACATGAGCAAAATCACTAGCATGAGGAAAATCAAAAGACACAAATGAAATAGTGGTTTAAGCTTTTCAGGTAGATCCAACAGTAGTATTCATGTACAGAAACGGAATAATCAAATGTAAAATAACACTGCGTAGTCTTCATTGTATAAATGAAATATAGATTAATCATTGTTATAGGTACAAAAGTTATTCAGTCAAGCGCAGTGAGTAATTTGCTGTCTTTTGTTGTTTGAATAGCATTAATGAAACAGACAGGAGCAAGTACATTACAGGCTGCTGTTGCTTTAAGACCAAATGCACAGATCCAAAGTATTGATACACATCCGATTTCTTTCTCAGCTGTTTACATAATTTGTATGAATTTGTCTGTTCAAGTGCAAGTATTAGCTCAGTTCTGAGCTTTTGCGTGCTGTCAGTGAATGCACACAGAAAACAGCATGTGATTATTTTCTTTCACATCCTCTTGCACTTGAATGATTTAAAATCGCTTGAATGTTTAAATTGACAAGACTTAAAAACACGAGCAACTGATAAACTTTCGTGTCGACACCGCACTGGCCATATTGTCAAGTTCTGCCATGATATCAGCACCTCAGTAAAAGAACCAAGCCGCTCTCAGACACTGACAGTGTTGGGGGTAACTCATTACAAGTAATGCGAGTTACGTAATCAGATTACTTTTTTCAAGTAACTAGTAAAGTTTTTTAATTTACAAGAAAATATCTGAGTTACTTTTTCAAAAAAGTAATTGTAATGCATTACTTTTAAAAGTAACTTTCCCCAACACTGGACACTGAAACATTGTATCATTCATGAACTACATGTGTGTAAATACTGTGCTTTATCCGGAAAAGTGTATCTTTATTTACACTTAAATAAAGTTAATTTTTATTTTTAATTTGTGAATTTTTTTGAATGAAAGATCAAAATGATAAACGATGCAGATTTATTTTCACAGCCACCTTTGCTCATATTTACCAAGGGTGCCAATATTAGTGGTTGGCACTGTGCTTAAATCACAGCCTGTGTGATGTGACAGTCACACTAAGCCACATTGCAATATAGATTTTATTTTGATATATCATGCAGCCCTCATTGCGGCCCTCATGGAAGTTCACTGAGCCCTTTAGCGGCCTCGATTTAAACACCCCACACAACTCTAGTGTACAGTAATAGTAAGTACTTTTATCTACTGGCAGATTACTTTTACAGGAACAGGCTTGGGCACGGCTGATCTAAATGATCGTAATGCAGTTATACCAGTTATCTAGGCTTGCTTAATGACAGATTTATCTTTTGGCACATCAAATAACATAGTTGTTTGATGCTGAGTCATATTTATCTGTATAGCATTTTGCATAATACACATTGTTCCAGAGCAGCTTTACAGAAAGTTATATTTACCTGTAAGTTCTACTATGTCTTTAGTGTGTATTGAACAGGTTTATCAAAAACCTTTTAAATGTCATGTCGCAATGCATTTGTACACAGGGATGCAGTGTCTGTCGTTTCATTTGAATTTGGCAAATGCTGTGGCCATAAAAAGTTTATTCTCTTCGCAGTCCATGATCCTGGCAGTGATCAGTGTGTGTCTTGCAGTATAGCTCAGGGGTACTCAAGTTAAGCCACATTAAATATGAAGGGCCACAAATAACAATTTGCATCATAAGACTTTATTCAAGACAATATTTGCCGTTTTACTGATTTAGAAATGCAGTTTTATTACATATCTAACTCCTGCTTTTCGTTGTCCTATTTAAAATACTATTGAACATGACAATAAAACATTACAAAAGTTTGGAACAAAAAAGTAGATTAACTGTTTTTGCTGTATTAATGCAAATAAATGCATTCGTACTCAAACAGAGTATTAAACAAACTTGGTTCCTAGCTATAAGCCATTCAAAGCTGTGTGTAATTAGCAGAATTGATTCGAAATCTAACAAGCAATCAGTGCAATAATGATAAAATTGGGCTGATGTGAGCCTGTTTCTTAGTTATCATAAGCATTTAAATCCTTGCAAGCTTATTGACTTCAACCTGACATTTGAAGACTTCAAACAGAAGAAGACAAAAAAAAATGCTAATGTGATTATCGTATAAGACAGATTGCTGTAAACGCAACACCTGTGATCTTCACTGTAGAAAACAACATAACATTGCATCCATTGAGATCTAGAATCTTATGTATGGAGGTCTGTGGTCCAATAATTCATATCTCTGTTTTGGCAGAATGTCATAGGAGAAAATTATTAACCATGCCATCTTTTATATAACAATACATACTGTTACCTTGGAGAGTTTTGTCAGATTGTGAGGAAATAAACTGCTCAAAAAATGAAGGGAACACTTAAATCACACATTGGATCTCTGTGAATGAAATATTCACGTTTAAAATTATTACTTGTGTACATTATGTAATTCGTTGAGAACAAAATTATGTCACAATGGTCAATTGAAGCCAAAATCATCAACCCACTGAGGACTGGATTCAAAATCATACCAAAAATCTATGTAAAAACATGAAATTGCAGTAGCCTTCTGGAGGTTATTTTGGAGGGCTCCGGTAGTGCTCCTCCTGTTCCTATTATGTTCCTGTATCTCTTGCATGCTCTAGAAACACACACCAAACCTCCTTGTGACGGCACGTGTGGATGTGCCATGGGGGTTGATTTGCTGTTGCTTCTCCAGTGCACCTGTTGTCACCTACATTTGCACCAAAGCAGGAGAAACTGATTCACACTTATGCTTCCTAACTGGACAGATTGGTATCCTTGACATTTAACTGACTCAATGTTTTACTGTGATGATTAGGTGTTCCCTCAATTTTTTGAGTAGTGTATAAATCTGAGTATCGTGGTCATAATTGTGAAATTTAATGATTTTGTCCCTCAGGGGAAGCGTAAACAATGAGAAAAACAGAGGACCTAATACTGAGCCCTGTGGCACACCATACTTGTGTTTGATGGGATATCCTTCATATACAAGTGGTAGCAATCTGAAAGATAGGACCTAATGTAATGAGCAATATTTTGCACTAGAAAAAATACTGAACTTTAGTAAGAAAAGTTTCTATGGTACAATGGGGCTTAAATTTTTTTATTTTTTTTCCCTGCCATATTGGTGTTATATCTTTCACTTGGATGCTATAAGTTGCACTGAGTAAATACAGCTGGATAAAACAAAAACTGTCTGTCTTCATTTCAGGCTACAAAGCAACAAAATGTGATTATTTTAAAGGGGGTGATTCTTTTCTATACCCACTGTAACTCCTGTTTCAGAAACCTATAAGGGCTAGCATACATGTTGTTGGTTTTGATGCTTTATGTTGGTTTGGATATCTGTTGCTTTGTGCCATTAAACTGTGTTTAACTATTTATCTTTATTTTTCGCTTTAGACCTGATGGTGCTGAAAGAGGAGAGTCAAGAACAGAATGAAATGGAAGAGAAAAAACAGTATGAGAAACATCATGGTTTCATGACTGGAGAAAAATCCACAAAGACTGACAATACTTTCTCACAAAAAAGAGGCCATAAGACCAAATCCAAGAGTTATTTCACCTGCCATCAGTGTGGAAAGAGTTTCAATCAGAAACAAAACCTTGATGTCCACATGAGAGTTCACACTGGAGAGAAGCCGTTCACCTGCCAAGAGTGTGGAAAGAGCTTCACTGTAGAACTAACCCTTAAGTATCACATGAGAGTTCACACTGGAGAAAACTCTTTCACCTGCCAAGAATGTGGAAAAAGTTTCACTCAAAAACTAAGCCTTAAATTCCACAAGAGAATTCACACGGGAGAGAAGCCTTACATCTGTCAACAGTGTGGAAGGAGTTTTACACAGAAAAACATCCTTAATTACCACATGCGCAGTCACACTGGAGAGAAGCTGTTCTCGTGTGATCAGTGTGGAAAGAGCTTCACAACAGAAGTAAACCTTAGGTATCACTTGAACATCCACGCTGGAGAGAAGCCGTTCAAATGTGATGAGTGTGGAAAGAGGTTCACACGTAAAATAAGCCTTAATAACCGCATGAGGAATCACTCAGAAGAGAAATGCTTTATATGTCATCAGTGTGGAAAGAGTTTCAGTCATAAAAGTAGCCACAACACTCACATGAGACTTCACACTGGAGAGAAGCCGTACACCTGCAAACTGTGTGGGATGAGCTTCTCACAAATAGGAAATCTTAAGATTCGCATGAGAATTTGCGCAGAAGAGAAGCCATTCATATGTGTGGAAAATGATGAACACATAGGGAGGGTTTTATGTCATCAGTAGCCAAGTTTCCATCCAGTTTTTGCGCTGTTTTGTTAGGCCTACTTGATCAAGCAATATTCATAAACGTGCAGCTGTATTATTATAATTTTTCTGATTAACTATTATTAGACTGTAGTGAAAATATGAATTTTCATTTCAGTTATTTCTCCTAACCGATGCTCGGTTACCATAATCGGCTCGGTTACCGATTATGAACCGCTAACCGACAAGATTATGGTAAATTAGAATGGATATGTGGCTGTGACCCATTAAAAATAAAAAAAATTGTTTTCCAGGGATTAATTTAACAAAAAGCAGCATAAACAACAGAACATGGGCATTCACATGGTCACATCACGCACCTGCAGCGCTTCTGCAAACAGAGAAAAACATAATGAAGCTATATATAAAAGGGCCTATATGTGAAATATATTTTTGCTTTATTTATTTATTAACAAAATGAAAGAAGAAAAGTGTGCAACAAGTTGTAGCCTGTATGCAGAGTTTCGGTTCAATTTGTGATGCGCTCCACAAACAACTTGAGAAAGCGGCATCCTGTTTGTTTCCTTTATTTTACAAAAGCACAATGTTTTGTTTTTATTGTGAATGCACACAAATAAAAGTAATATTTCAAATAGTTTCGAATGATGTCTTACTCTTATCTATATGACCACAAATGAAGGAGTATTGTATTGTAAGTCAACTGAACGTACTGAGCGACTGCAAAAAGTCCAGTCTTATTGCAATTTCTACATTTAGCAGATGCAGCTGGGCAATTTCGTGCATTCGCTAGATGTCCATCAGAGCCACAACGGAAACATGTTCAAAACATGTCCGAGCTGACGGTGCAGAAGCAGGAGTTTTCAATGAAGTACTTACATTGACTTTGACTTTAGGACGCTGTCGTCCTGATGCAGGAGTAGATAGCACGGCTTGCACTGGAGCGGAGGTGCTTGAAGTCATTGGCTGCGTCTGAAACCGCCTAATTCTCTACTATATAGTAGGAGAAAAGCAGTAGGCGAGCGAATAAGTATGTCCGAATCCTTAGTATTCATAAAAGAGTAGGCGAGAATTATCTGGGTGACGTACTATTTCTCACGAGATTCGAAAGTGCGTCCGAATATGCCTACTTACTTACTATATAGTAGGAGAAAAGATTATGTGAAGAAAGTAGTATGCCCGAAACCTCAGCATTCATAAAAGAGTAGGCGAGAAATCCCTTGGTGTCCTACTGCTTCAGCCCAGATTCTGAAGTGTTCATCGATGGATACTTTTCTATCCCAGAAGCCCACGGGAGAGGATACGTCATCATCGAACGTGATGGAGAACAGCGATGCGGGTGTTTACAAATGTGAGTATTACAAATCAAATACATGGTTCCCTGTATTAAAATCGCATTTGTTAAGCTACTGTAGAGTAAACTCTTCAGTTGTTGAGTGTGTAAGACGCTAGACAGTATAGTATATTTGTGATTTTGCTGTAAAAACATGTTTTATTACGTATAATAGAACAGGGGAGCTCCAGTAAGCACACGTACATCTCCAAAGTGAATTTACATAAACCATATACATCTTAAAAACGATTACTAAATGTATATTTAATATTAGATAGGAAAATGTTCTAAAAGAATTACAGATGAGCACATCTGAGTGATGTATGTGTGCTATTATGTAGAATTCACTGTCAACACTGCTCTAGATGAATGCAAGTAATGTAAATAAACAAATCTACATAAAGTAACTAAACATGAGTTATCTATTTCATTTGTCCGTTAGTACTGTTGATAAATTGTGGAGCACTTGTGTTAGATAAAAAGCGATTTAACACAACATGTAAATGCAGTATTGAGCAGATAAATCACAGAGGTGACTGGACTCTTGTCTGGATATTACAGGGACAGATGAGACACACACGAGGGTGTTTACAAATGTGAGTATTAGAAATCAGAAACACGGTTCCTTGTGTTAAAATCACATTTGTTAAGCTACTATAAAGTAAACTGTTCAGTTGTTGAGGGTGTAAGACGCTAGACAGTATAGTATATTTGTGATTTTGCTGTAAAAACATGTTTTATTACGTATAATAGAACAGGGGAGCTCCAGTAAGCACACGTACATCACCAAAGTGAATTTACATAAGCCATATACATCTTAAAGACGATTACTAAATGTCTATTTAATATCTGACAGGAAAATGTTCTAAAAGAATTGCTGATGAGCACATTACAACATGAACAGACGTCTGCGTGAGTGATGTATGTGTGCTATTATAGTAGAGTTCACTGTTGTCAACATTGCTTTAGATGAATGTAAGTAATGTTAATAAACAAATCTACATAGAGTAACTAAACATAATAGATAAAAAGCGAGTTAACACAACATATAAATGCAGTATTGAAAAACCAGATTGTGTTTCAGATATAATAGAATTCAGATTCAATTTGAATCTATTGGCATAAACCGAAATCAGAATTTTATAATCTATGGTAAGAAGCGTAATAGGGCGCCAATTGTCAATAGAAAGAGTGTCTATTTATACTATTCAGCTCCAGTTTTTCTTCTTCTGAGACGTTCTCTTTTAATAATAACTCATTTAAAGACAAATCAGATTAGATTCTAACTGACCTGTCGCTCGTATCTTTTAAGTTGTTGCGCTTGTTATAACGTCGTAGATCACATGATAACGTCAACATGGCGGATGATGCCTGGATCGCATTCATACTTAACGAGATTTGGCTGTAGAGTACCTACTCTCTTAGCACTCGTTAAGTAAGTACTTAATGAGTAGGTACTTCATTTAACTGAGTAGGCGGTTTCGGACGCAGCCATTGATTTTGCCTGGGCATCAGCGGCCTCTAGCTGTGTGGCGATTGTAATTGCAGTTTTAGAGCTTTAATAGCGTCTGCTACACTGCAAAAAATGAAATGTTGATGAGTCAAAAAATCTTGAAATAAGCCAATAAATATCGTTTTCTTTCTTCTAAGATAAATAAACTAGCCCAGAATTAAAAGTAAAAGATTATTTTGCTTGTTTTGAGAAAATATAACTTAAATGTTCTTACTTAGAAAAAATTGCCAGTTCTGGTGATTTATTTAAATGAATTAAGTATATTTTTTAAAGTGTATGGTATATTTTGACAGTCAATCCTGAAACAAGAAATTTCAAGCCATACTTTCTTATTTTAAGAGCATAATGTTTCTTATTTTTAGAAAACAATGTTAGGACATTCTGACACAAAATGTTTTTTTTCTTTATTATGTTTTATACTTTACCATTGTTTAACTTCATTTGAACCAAATGAGAAACAAGTAGCAGCAAATCAGAGAAGCATAATTTTATTCTGTGCTGACAACAGTGTCAATTTATATTCAGACAACATCTTGTACACCAAATAGTATCCAGTAACTCATAAATTGAACATGTACAGTTTTTTTTTAAACAATAGCCAAGTAAACATAAGGTGATGAACAAATTTAATTTTAACAAAATGTCTTTTCTTTAGGTCTGTACGGTCAGTAAATAAAATGGGGATAAAAAAAAAATGTAAAAAAAAAAAAAAGCAAGGAGAGGAAACTGACTGTGTGCTTTCTCTTCACTTTTCTTTGTTCTCCAGTAAATTAGCAGTCAGTGGTGCACTTGTAAATCGCACACACATCTCCGAGATAATACTTCATAGGAATACAAGTACGGTTCTTAAAACGGAGTGCATAATATGATGTATAATCTACAATTTTATCTGCATCCACTATTTCAGTGGCTTGAGCAAGGTTTGGGACCTCGATTTCATAAGAAGCAAACTCATGACTGAAACCCACTGTGTTATTAACCTGACATTCAAAGCAATACAATGAAGAATTTGCAATGTATATGTCCTTTATGAGCCCAAATACAGGAACACCTTCATTTACACTGATTACAATTACTGACTTCTGGCACAAGTACTTGTTGCCACATAGCTCAAGCCATTTTACAGATACCACATGATGCACGTTTTCTACACCCAAAAAATCTCTCATTTTATCCTGCACATACTTCATATTTTCCACTTCAGATGCAGGACCCAATAGAACGTCTTTTGAAAAAATTGGGTGATTCTCACGGCTGATATTTTGACAACTCTCAAACATCTGATTGTGTTTAACCAAGGACTTGCAAACATTCTTGAAATTTAGCTTGGAAGACCACTGTTTGAAAAAACAGTGTTTAGATTCAAATCTCATACACATGTGTCTGAGCATTGGACCTAAATCTTTAATCTGTTCAGGAATATGTATCAAATAATGTTGCTTTGGTGTTATATTGCTCTCAGGAAATAACCGTTTCATATTGCTCAAATGTTGCTTAATAAGCAACTTAAGCTTTGCTATAGTGGCCAAAGAAATAACTGGTGCAAATAAGATCTGAACAATCTCTATTAACTCAATAATCACTTGAAAGTATTCATTTCTTTCACAGCTGTCCAATATGAATGGTAGGATCTTCAATAGGACAAGCATTTGCCCAGCTGATTGCTTTAGTCTGTTGTCATTTGATGATAACGTGGTAACAGTAATAGGGCAAGGTTTGTCTCGGACATCAGTTGAGTATGGGTATCCTAGAATAGCACTGTTAAATGTGTCCAAGTCCAGTTGCCCTGACAGCACAAGATGTTTTAGTACAGTTTTTACTTCCAGTGGTGCCACACCTTCTAATATCACATGCATAATATCCTGAGGTGTTTGTCTGATGAGATCAAAGGCTGGAAAATCAATCAGTTTGCTTTCCCTATTAAGTCCATAAGTGGTTTTCAAACTGCTTCTCAGAAAGTCTGTGGCGGCCCTCTCAATTTCATTACACTGTCTGACATGTCTATCTAAAGACCGTTTGACAAAGTTTTCTGCTTCAAAGTAAAGTTGCATATCCTCAAAACTACACTCACAGTGTCTGCATTTGCGGAATGCAAATCCAACTCCCTCTTTAAAGCCTGTTAGCTCATGCTGAGCCAGGGTATCACCACAGAGAGAAACTACTGCACCATATATTGTTCTCTCTCCGTGTGCAGTTTTGATGTTCACTCCGTTATGCAACAAATTTAGATCTTGTATTCTCTGCAAAATTATATCTACACCACACTGAGAGACGTCACTTGATTTTGCAATGGCGAGTAGACGGATGGCATCTAACTTAGACCTTTGTTTAGGATTTATATTGCCCAAAGTATAGTACACCATTAGGAGTTTGTTTTTTGAGGCACGAGACCCCAGAGGATTGCACAGTTCTATCTCAGCTGCAGAGCATTGGGTCTCACAGAGAACAGTGGGTGTGACTTCAAAATATCCCCATCAATAATGTCATTGATAAATCCAGCCTTGCTTTGGCTTGGTCCATTGTCAAACATTGCTAGAATCATTGGATGTGAAAGTAGTTGTTCCAAACTTCGGACTAAAGGACTATAATAAAAGCATCTTGTTCTTATTGTTAGAGCTTGTGAGGTTCCCCTTTTCCTCAAGGATGCAGTCTTGGAAATTTCAATTTCTTCTGCTTCAACTACCATTAACTGCTTTTTTAGATTTGAATCTTGCATATATGTAGTGGAAACGGAGTCAAAAGGGTCTTCAAAATTGTTAAAAATGTCCATAACTTCACTCATCAGTTGATCTGTGACTCCTGATTGTCTCTGAATGGCATCTGTAATTTGGTTCCGAAGGCAGTCCAACAGTGAGGCTTGATACTGCTGCACCCGGGAAATGATGTCATTGACAGCTCGCTGAAGAAAAAGCAATAATTTAGAAATAGAAATTCATGCACAAGGAACAGAATGTAAGAATATAGTTTTTTACTGTAATTTCACATAATTAACATCAGCGTCTTACCTGGGAAAGGCAGTGTTTCACTCTTGAACTCAGTACAAATGCAGAAGCATGCTTTCTCAGTTCATCAACTTCAGGCTCATCATTTATGACACTTTCCTCTTGCTGGAAATAAAAAACATTAAGACTTCAAAATTCAAATAACCTAAAATAAAGCAATATACAATGCAACAGTACCCATTCACTTTTTAAGCAACCTTGGTTCAGGAAGTATTTTATTCCTATTCAGTTTTCTATTTGGACAAAAAAAACCTTTGTTCAATAATTATATACCATGAACCAAATCAATGAGCCAGGAGGAGATCATTAAAAAGAGACGGCATTACAAATTTTGACGAAGCAAAAAAAGTATATGAAAATCAGACAAAAAGACAACGGCGCAGGACTGAGTACTTAACTTTAACACAGGAATGGACAAATCCAGTGACAGTTGAGTTAAAGGGTTAGTTCACCCCAAAATGAAAATTATGTCATTAATTACTCACCCTCATGTCATTCCAAACTCACAAGAATTTCGTTCAGATCTTTTTGATGAAATCTAAGAGATGTCTGTCCGTCCATTGACAGCCTTTGCAACAAACGTGACCTCTTCCGGAAGCTCAAATGTGCTGCATAACACAGGAGAATTAACCTCATTGGTTACACGGCATATTTGAACTTCTGGAAGAGGTTTGTTGTTGTGCGTTATTCAAGTTCGGTTGAGCTTCTGGCTTATGTTCACTGATCAATGTTTACATGCGAGTAAAAGCCTAAATTAAATCGTTTCATTATAAAAAGCGATCAAGTCTCTTCAGAAAATTTGGACTATACCGCTCGATTCATATCCTAGTTTCCCGATCTCTTAATGATCTTTTTGAAGTGTCAAAGTGTCAGTTGCAAAGGGAGTCTATGGAGGAACAGACATCTCTCGGATTTCATCAAAAAGATCTTCATTTGTCTTCTGAAGATGAACGAAGGTCTTACAGGTGTGGAACAACATGAGGATGAGTAATTAATGACAGAATTTTAATTTTGGGGAGAACAAACCCTTTAAATGAGATATGCGTGAATGTGTGTGTGATTCCTCGATTCTTTGATTAATGCAGAATAGAGTGGTGCATGTATGATGTCAAAGCCCCATCCCCTGGTTCCCTTGAGATTTTCCTATAGGGTTTTAAATTTATGAGTCAAATAAAGCCTGTGGTAAACATGACTGGAGGATACTTTGACGTTTTGTTCTACAATGTAAATTACAATAAATAGACGGTAAAGGCATCGTTTTTAATACCTTGCACTTTGAAACCCGTTTTCAGGCCCCCAAAACGCCGTTGTCAATGAACGGCCAAAACCAGACCTGCCAGCCTTGGAAATTTTTTTTGAGTACCATTATCGTGGGGGGGGTGAACTGTTTACCGTAACTGTTTAATTTTTGCTATTTAGATTTTTTTTAATGCTATTTCAAAAACAAACAAACAAACAAACAAAAAACTCCAGTACACTTTAATTAAAACTCCGGTACACTTCTGTATAGGGCTGGGCGATATGAGCAAAGATTCATATCTCAGTATTTTTTGGCTGATTTGCGGTATACGGTAGCCTATATATCTCAGAATTTTGTATTTGGATTAAACAAATAAAGTGAATGTAAGCATGTAGGCATATGTTATGTGCAAAAAAGGGTTAAAACCACATTACATTATAACTTTGCAATCTAAAAACAAAAAGAATCCTTTCAAAGCAGAAGTTAAAGTTACTAAACTAAAAATGAAAATAATAAAAAGCACAGGCTAATTGAGTATAAAGGCTATTTTGATTACCCAATTACACTTTACAGTTAGTGCTATCATACAAATACACTTACGTGTAGGTTTAAAATTTGACATATGTCACATTTATTGTCCAACTACAAATATTTCAGCAAAATGTATATTTTAGTCCGAGTTATTGCGCTCCTATTTGATTGAGCTCTGTCTGTTTGGCGCGCTCGTTCTAAATTAAGTCTGTGGAGTTTAGCGGAGAATCGCAAAGCAAAAGCTCATGTACTTCTGACAGCAAAATGGAAATATCTCCATGGCTTTTTTAACATTTACAGATGGAGAATATACCTGTGAAATATAAGATATGCATTAAGGAAAACAGCACATCTCAAACACATTAAACAGCGCGTCTCTGTCAGCCTCACACACAGTCTTTCTGTCAGAGCATCTGACGGGGCGAGCGCGAGCCGCTTTGAACTGAAACTATAAACTATAGGCTACTAGGAGAGAAATAAAACGCAGAAATTATTTCAATGCAAAAAGCAAAAAAAAAAAAAAACGCTCTGATTGGTTGAACTCTTCATCTTTTTCTGTTGTTTGTTTTGAATACTGCGTGTGGACAGGCGTCACTAGATTTTTGCGTAGTTTAGAGTGACAAATCGTACCAGCGTACTTTGAGGTCAAAATGCGTAACGTTAGCCGCTACGCAAAATGCGTACAGGTTGGCAGGTCTGCAAAACGCATACAAAGTTTTCCATTTTCAGCTGTAAACGGTGTCGTGTAAACATACCTTAAGATCTGCAACTAAACCACAAAAAAACCAATAAAGCTTTGAGTCGTCATTAAAATTTCCCAATGGATAAAATAAATGGTACTTTTCTCCTGGGACCAAGACAGTTGCACTCTATTAGGCTTATGTCCAATTGCTGGCTACGTGTCTGTATTCTGATATACCCATGACAGTCAGGTTTTATTAGTCATTTTTGTCAACTTACATGCATTTTATCCATTGGATATAAAATAGGTGAAATCATAAAGCATTATTCCTTGAGAGTGTTTTAATGTTGTACAATACTCAGGTAAAGTATAGTATTAAGAAGAAAAATGCTACATTTAAATATATTATAATATGAAATGTTGCAAATGTTATCATTTAAACGGGTTTTATACAAAACCCTATGGATGTAGCGTAATGGAACCACCCTTAAATTTACGTCACTGGAACGAACGACCGTTAACACTTCTGCCAGTTTCCGGTTTCACCATTTTGTGCACTTGAAGGTAAGTGAGATTAAACTTTTTTTTTTTTTATTTGATTTCATTTTATGTTAGTTAAATGATTTAGTTTTGCATGGGTGTAAGAAAGAAAGATATACGTTCTGATAATTAGTGTGTATAAATAGTGTTAGAAATATGACTTTGTAGTAGTTATTAGAAAAGTACAGGTTAATAACTACAATTTTTTCATTCTCTTTGATTAACTGATGTCATAACCAAGTAAAGGTAGCCAACAGTCTTTTGATCTTTCTAATTTCCATTCAGGTGGCATTTATGGAGCAGCTTGATTCAGTGACACGGTCCACTTTACAAGGTAACGTTACGTTTTAATGTCAGACTCAGTGCACATGTAACGTTAAGTCTTAAGCATGTTATGTGACTGTCACACTAAAGCATTTTTAGTTAAGAACCTATGTTTATATATTTTCAAACGGTCATTTTGCTATTTGTAATAATCCAGTCACAGAGATATTTGTGTATGTACAAGAAATCTGACAAAGGTAAGTTAATGTTAGCTTTCTCAAATAGTTTTTGAGATGTTAGAGTTACAACGTCACAGTTCTTGTGGATTTAGTCTGTCGTTTTTTCTGTCATGAAATCCCACACTGAGTTCATGATGGTTAAAGCTACAGTCCGTAACATTTTTGTGTTCAAAATTTAAATAATGAGCGAGTACATCATGAATCCATTTTCCAAACCGTGTTTTTGCGTTAACCTAAATCACTATGGTACACCCAGAGCCGTTGAGAAACAGAGTTGCGACACGCTTTGATCTCGCCGCCACGCGGTCACGTGGTTCGTGTTGTTTGCACATGACGTCGCTGATGACGCGCGAAATGCAGCTGGAGGGCAGGAAGTGATTTCTCTCCATAGGAATCACTAGCAGAAACTAAAATGCCTGTGTTTTGCATTGTTTATGGATGCTCAAATTGGCCAAACCGAGAAACCACAAGGAGCTTTTATCGTGTTCGAAAATGTGTTGTTCATAAGTGGGGAAAAGTCAAGAAATTGATTGAAAAACACAGGAAAAAGTGGCTTGTAAACCTGCGTCTGCGGTCGGGAGGAGCGAAGCTTGTGTGATAATAATGCTCGTGCGTGCTAATGGTTATTATGGGATATAATAATAATATATTAAGATATTAATAAAGATATATAGATTGGGCTGCCACCTCTCACGCATTGTCAGAATTCAATCAGTACTACACGCCACACGTAGACACGTAAATAAGATATTATTTGCAGTTCAGAGAGCTTCACTGATTATAAAGGTACATCGTGAGGTTGCGAATTGAAGTGAGTGACAGCTTTTTAGTGATTATATGGAAGCGCTATTTGCTCGCTTTCTAGGCTATAATCAATTCAGAATTTGAATAGTTTTGTTTTACGTGCTGCTAACAGGACCAACAGGAACAAACCCTGTACATGCAGCAAAGTTTCAGGAGAGACTGAAAAAGAACGGATGAGATGGAGGAAAGTCCATAATGTACTGTTTTAGGCATGAGGCATTTATATATGTATATGTATTAGACTTGTGCCGGTATTCGGTAAAGCGATATATCACGGTAATGAATATGCACGATATTGTTATCGTGGGCACTTCTAAATACCGTGAATAATTATATATTAC